GTTAACTCATTGCTTTTACTCAATTAATTTGTGCCATAACCATTTATTCTAATTGAATGACATGAAGAATTTTAAATCTCAAGTGAGTTCATCAACTTGATTATCATTATTATATGGGCTTTTATTTGAAATGGCACATTAAAAAGAAACACCTTCTATGCATTGTATTTTTGGTGGAATGGATTAATGTATGAGTTATAAGGGACATGTAAAAAATAAAAAATAAAAAAATGATTATGACATCATACATTTAAGAAATTTGAATAAATCTAAACAAAGACTTGAAAATTCTATTAAAAAGACCTAAAATTTTGTAAAAGAAACTAGGAAGCCTAAAATGAAAAATAAAACGAAAAAGGAAAGTCGAGAAAACCAAAAATCTTAAAAAAAATTGTTGAAAAAAAACTTTCTTCAGATTTGATTTCCTAAAAGAAATCGCTCTTTTACTTAAGTAATCATACTTAAGATGATAAATGACCATCTTTTATTATCATTTCACAAATAAAAAATTATCAACTTGCTACCATTTTAAGCCTAATAAATTCTTTCTAAATAAACCTTAACCAAAGATCATCATCCACGTTAAAGGGTAAAAAAAGGACATATTCAAGAATCACACATAGTGAGGTCTTATTTCAAGTATAAGGACAACCTTGCATGTTAAGAGGCAAATGTCCAATAAAATGAGTTTTCAAAAATGTTTAAACTCATAAAATCAGAAGTAGATATATGCAAAGTAAAAGGAAAAAAAAGGTATAAAAAAGGTAAGAAAAAGAAAAGCAAAAATAAACAAAAAAAAAGAAAAAAATGATTGAATGGCAAGTGTAAAAAATGAATAAAAAAAAGGCCCCAAGGGAACCTTGTATATGATGTGAAATGATCATTGGTTTAATCACCCTTAAACACGTTTTAGGCCTATTTATTCTTTCCTTTTGAACTTGGCATACGTTACATGTTCTTAAAAGTCCATTTTGATCAAGTATAAATGCTTAAATTGAAAAGCTTTCCTTCATAGAATCACCATATAATCTATAAGTCTTTTGTCTTCTTTCACTATCCAACTATCTATTTGAACCATTAACCCATTTTGGATGAAACTTGGATTATTAAGTGCATGATAAAACAATCAAGGAAAAAATAAAAAAATGAAGGAAAAATGTGGCTCTATGGTGAAAACTCCAAAAAAAATAGTCTAAAGTAAGTTTAAAAACCATGAAACCAATCCTATGCATAAGAAGTAAGAAAAACTAGTATAAAGTCACTCAAATTTTTTAAAGATCTAAGAATGTCGATATTCTGGAAGTTTGAAATCCATTAAGGGTTTAATTTTGAAATTTTAAGCCTTTTTCTCTCATTTCTAAATGACTTTCTAAAATTTTGAGCCTATCACAACTAACCTTAACATCTATTAAAATGCCACATTTAGAAAATAAAAAATTTGTCAAATATATTTGGTTTTCAAGGAATTCATGCATTTGAAAATTTATGTTTCATTTGTGAGTCTAAAAGGAAAAATATACATCATTTTTTCTCCCTTCAAATTGTAAAGCCTTCTTGAATGAATTGAAACATTGGCGTGTTAAACCATTTAATCCATTTGAAAAAAAATGGTCACCTCTTTCATTTCTAATTGTGAGCACCAATTTTCGAGAGATTTAAAAGTCACATTTTTGGAATATTTCATTTTTTTTAATCATGTGGGGTAATTTTATTGATCAGTTTTGAGTTATTTGTTAGACATTTTTGTAAATAATAAAGATATTGATTTTAGTGTAAAAGAAAAGTTGTTTCTGATGAAAATTTCATCAATGCAAAGTTAGGTTTGGTTTACAAAACAAAATTTTTTTACTAAAAAATTAGTCTTTGAAAAAATATAGATTCTTTTTTATTCTTTTCCTTTATAAAAAGAAGGACAAATCAATCTTGGTGAGAATAAATAAGATCATTTTCTAATGAAAAGGTGAATAAGTGCATATGATATTAGGGCAAGAAAACATGAAAGGAAGCATGCTTGTTTTGATATGAAAAATGTTTCTAGTTGATTAAGTAACAAGAACATAGTTGTTTTATTTCCTTGAATTTGTTATGAGAATAAAGTTGGCACTAATCACATGTACATTGCATGATTAGGTTTGTGAATGTAAATAAACAGTGAAAGTGAAAAGAGAGTCAATACATATTGGTTGAGAAAAAAATCATAAAAAATACAAGAAGGAAAATAGATGAAGGTATGCGAAGAAATATGGAAAGATGGGAAGGAATGAAAAAGTAAATGTTTTAGAAAAGAAGATAAAGAATAATTTGATGAAGAAAAAGAAATAAGTAAATGATTTGATAGTGAAGAGAAAATAATTTTGCAAACAAAAAAAAATTAAGTTTTTGCATCACTGGGGCATTTACATCATGTATAAGATATTTTCATCTTTAGATATTTGTGTTTGCATCAATAGGAAGCCATACACATCATTTTCAAGGCAAGTATTTGCATCATATAATGTCTATTTGCATAAAAAAATTTCATGAGGGAATCTACATCTTTGTATGGAACATTTGCATCATGAAAAGGTCATTTCCATTCGCATTGAGTATTTGCATCATAACAAAATTTCATTCTAACATGGATTCTTACATTTGCATAAAGACATTTGTATTTTCATAATAGAAATAATAGATGCATGTTTGTGGCATTTGCATTTGTATAAGGACATTGCCATTTGCTCCTTTAGGCATTACTACATTCATCAATTTTGAAAACGTTGAAAAAAATACAAAGAAAATTCAAGTATTTTTAAGTTGTCAAAAAAAAAAAAGAATAAGAAAAGAATTGAGAATAATAATGATGGGTATAAGGAAAAATGAGGTTTTTATATTAGAAATTTGGAATTTCATTAAACATCTTTTATGGTGATATCTGACTTTTTTTCAAAATCACTAAATGGTATTATCCAAGTATTCATGTTTGAATTTCATTAAATTTTTTTTGTGGGAGTTTTCATTAAACAATTTTTTATGGTGATATCCAAGCCTTTTCATTAAAACTTACTCTGTGGTGATATTGAGTATTTATGTTTGAATATCATTAAAATTTTATCAATGGTGATACTTGAGCCTTTTAATTAAAATTTTCTCGATGATGTTATTTACGTTTTCTTGAAATTACTCTGTGGTGATATCCAAGTATTCATGTTTGAGTTTCATTTTTTTTTTTTTTTGGTGGGAGTTTTCATTAAACAATTCTCGGTGGTGATATCAAGCCTTTACATTAAAACTTACTCAGTGGTGATATCCGAGTATTCATGTTTGAATATCATTAAAAAAATTTTGGTGATGATATCCTAACCTTTTAATTAAAATTTTTTCAACATCAATATCCAAGCTTTCTCAAAATCATTCAATGGTGACATTTAACTATTCATGTTTGAATTTCATTAATTTTTTTTGTTAGAGTTTTCATAAAACAATTCTAGATGATAATATCCGAGTATTTTCATTAAAACTTACTCGATAGTGATATCCGAGTATTCATGTTTGAATATCATTAAAGTTTCCTCTATGTAGATATTCGAGGCTTTTAACTAAAATTTTCTCGGTGGTGATATCCAAACTTTTCCAAAAGCACTCAATGGCAATATCTGAATATCCATGTCTGAATTTCATTAAAATCTCTTGATGGTAACATCCGAGCTTTTACAAATCATTTGGTAGTGATATCCAAGCTTTTTTCAAATCACTCGATAGTGATATCCAAGTATCCAAGTTTGAATTTTGTTAAAATCCTTTGGTAGCAACATTCGAGCTTTCAAATCACTTGGTGGTGATATTTGAGTATTCATGTTTGAATATCTTTAAAATTTTTCGTTAATGATATTCGAGCTTTCTCAAAATTTCTTAAAGGTGATATCCAAACTTTTTCAAATCAATCGCTAGTGATAACTAAGTATCCAAGTTTGAATTTCATTAAAATCACTCGATAATGATATCTTAGCACTTTTCAGTGGTGATATCCAAAATCATTTTGTATTTACTTGATGGTGATATCTGAATCTTTTTTAGTGGTGATATCCAAGTCTTTTTCAGTGGTGATATCTGAAATCATCTGCATTCACTCGATAGTGATATTTGAGTCCATTTTGGTGGTGATATCCAAAATTATTTTGCATTTACTCAATGTGATATCCGAAGCCACTGCATCCTCTTCGGTGATGATATCCAAAGTCATTTGCATTTACACTGTGATAATAATCGAGTTTTGTTCGGTGATGATATCCAAAGCATCTCATTCTTCAGTAGTGACATCCAAGTTTTCATTTAGATTTATTTTCAAAAATTAGAGCACCTTTAATGAAATGAGCTTTTCAAAAATTCAACAAAATCCAAAAAAATAAAGAACAAACTATCCAAAAATATATAAAACAAATAAACAAATAGAAACAAAACAAAAAATCTAAAAATATATAAAATATATAAAAAAGATATAGTTAAAAAAAATTCAAAAACAAGAAGATTAACAAGAAAAAAACTTTTGAAAAATCCTTAAATCATTGACTCCGAAAAAATTTATTGTCTATATATTTACCTTATTCTTGATTCTTAATAATGCACAAATAAAAACAACTACAGATACCCCATTCTATCATGATTGATTTGATTTTATTCGAATTTTAAAATTTATTTTAACATTTTTCTTCAAGCCAAATTATGCGTTCAATTGAATTGAATTCATTTAAACTTGTTTATGATAATTTTTATATGGGCCAAGATCCAACCCAATTTAATTTGAGTCAAGGCTTAATTATTTGGACTTATAGGCTTAAAAAACAATGAGTCGACATTCTTCTTTTTTTTAAAGGTCAAATCTTGACTTATAAACCAATTCAAGTCACTTAGGCTTGAAAGACTCAATAAAAATTCAAGTCAATTCTAAGCTCAAATTCAATTTTAAAGCTCAATTTAATTTTTTTAAGTTTAATTAAATTAATTAATTAAAAATGAAAAAAAAATTACAAAAAATGAAGAAAAGGTCCGCTGCCATGGCAATCTTCATTCCCCAAACCCAGTAGTCTTTTCCAAAACCATCCCAATTTCAGCTCTCACCTTTTAACTCTCAAATTTTACCCCATCTTCTTAAGCACAATTTGATCAAACATTCATCAATTTTCCTTCACCCAAAAATCAACAAGTATCATCTCCAAAAATGCAGTGACAATAGGCAACAGTCCAAAATGAATTCAGTCCCATGATTTTCGAAAAGAATAAGGATTCTACAAAGAAAACTCGAATACACACAACTAAAGGGGAGAAAATACAGAGACCATCAAGGGGGCAAAAAAAATTTTCAACCCTCATTGTTCATTCCCATTCAGCAACCGAGACCCACCCAACCAACATCGCCATCCCTGCTTTCAACCGACCTTCCATGCCCAAATAGTCCCATTCAACCTAACCAGCACCACAAATTTTCAAGTCCCAGCATCTCTTCAAACACCAACGCTTACCATTCGACAAGACCCATTCAGCCAACAGCCTCAGTCCCCATATTTTAGACCACCATTTTCAACATCCCAGCAAAACTACCCAAACCATTCATGGCCAAAAAATCCTAACCACCACCAGCTTCACCAACTTAACACCGAAACACACTGGCACCATTGAACTACCATCCACGGCATTTACAAGCCACCAAATAGCCATGACCCACCAGATTGAAAGACCTAACTTATGGCTCAGATCTAGAAGAATCCATAAAGTTCATAAAAAATCCAAGTTGAGAAAGGGAAAGAAGATGAAAAAAAAGAGTTGCTAAAAGAATTTTGGAATTTTTCTCCAAGGCTCAAAACACTACTAGTCGACATTCAGAATACATAAATTAATGGATGAGGAAATGGTGATTCCTACACTATAAATTACTTGTTGGAGGCATTCTCTATTCTTTTTCTTTAAACTTACCAATTATTAGTACAAGACTAGACAACAAAATTACATGTGTGGCAAATCCTGACTCGAAAAAATTAGGACAAAAAATTTTTTAATGTATAGAAAAGAGAGGTGTAACAAAAGAAGTAATAAAGCGATGGTCAGGTATTACAATGAAAATTTTCCTACATACAAATGAAGAAGATAGTGAGGACTTGAGAAAAAATAAAATGGTATTAATGGATTTCATAACAAAAAGAAACTAACTCAATTAGAGAACATTCTACGTGTAGTTAATTTGTTGTTACTCCCCTTTAGCTTTTATATGCATGTTTAGATTCCATCCATTCTACTTTACATCTATTTATTCACAACCCAAATCAAAAGACTGGTGTGCAATTCAGGGAGTTGGGCCAGCATCGCTTAAAGGACTAATATTAGTCTGTGAATCCCAGGTTTTCATAAGGTTTTTCTACTCTCCATGAATTACATTTGTTGAATGTGAAGCTTGCTTTGCCCTAAACACCCCCCACAAATAAAACTTCTCCTGGAACCCTGCAAATCAATTAAATGATTAAATCCTCTCAGCAAACCAAACACAATTAATCTAAATTCATGCCAGCTGGAAGATATAACTAATGGTCATTAAATAAAACATGGGGTAATGTATATTTAGACTCACTCCAAAAGTGCAGTGGCAATGTGTTAGAAGTGAAAACTAATAGTTCTACATCTTGAACAACAACTCTCATGCCAAGATCTTGTCCAATCATCTTATATACTAGACCGTCAAAAATCTTCTCGTCCCTGTAAAAATGAAATAAAAATATTAAGGTACAAAGTCTGGAATGCAGAGAGGTTGATGACATAACATTCAGATAAGTATCACCTTTCATTACTTGGAAAGAAATAAAGAGCAATACTTTCTTCACTTGGCCCCAATTTCTTAAAGCCTTTTGGCCACACATCACATCTGCAAAGCAATTCTAGGCAAAGCGATTCAGGTAAACATTTTGCTGTCTCACAAACTTTCAAGCATGCTAAGCAAGACAAATGAGCAACAACTCCAGCAGCAAAATTTTCATCAAAAAGACAAAATCTTCCCCTGTCAACAAACAATCAGGCTCATGAGCTTCTTCCACTAACATATGCACATAAACATTAAAAAAGGAAATAAAATCCTACCTCCATATCGGTTCAAATATTGGTTGTGCAGGTACATAACTGTGTTTTAGGATTTGCTTACTGGTAGCCACAAGAGATGCTTTAGTTTTAACACATGCAGCCACCTTATCAAAATGTACCCCATCCAGTTCCCTCAACCCTTCGTCCAAAACATTAGTATGCTCTATGATGTTTGAATGCTGATTGATGGCTATAAGAGATGTTCTATTATTGACAGATTCAGCTTCCTCATTAATGTTAACCCAATATGACCCTTTTGAAGGTGTACAAGTATTAAGACGCCCTTTAGCTTCAATACATCTGACATCCTTATTGGAGCCAGGCCCATGCTCTCCCAATGATCTTCTCAGTGTCTCGTCTTTTTCAAGATTCTCAGGAGGCTGAAGCGAGGGGCTACTTTTTCTTTGCACCCGTGATATCGCCAATGAGTCACTGTTATATTTTCCCTCCTTATTCTTTAATATTTTGATGTCATTGTTCCCCTTCGATTTTCTAACAGGACTGTCCTTTAATCTTGATTGAGAGCTGGACACAGGATGATCCTGCTGGAGAGTAGATGATTCTACAACATTTGGTTCACAGTCCACACAAAACCAAACAACATGCTCCTCAAAAGTGGCTGGTAACTTGTCTAGGCAATAACTGGATGAAGAAAGATAATTATAAAAGTAAAAATCAGTGAAACAAGTTAAAGAATTGGTAAATAGTGAAATAAAAATCTAACTTAAGGTTTTTGCAATGAGTGTCCAGGGTGGTGCTATTTTCAATTACAAATCCATCTTAGCAACAATTCCATTCTAAACGGTAAATCTTTGTCTTCAACACTAAAAAATGAAGAAATGATTTCATGTCCATTTGATGTTCCCAAAATAAGTATGTTATGTATCATAAAATAGCAATGTTGTCATCTACCGATGCACAGCAGAAGCCTGACAGTTGTCACAGTGAATCAATGCCACAGAGAAGCCCCTGTCACCACACATCTGACATGCAGTCACCTACAATTACAAAAAGCACACAGTTACTAAAACCCAACTGTGCTAGAATCATTCAACGTAAAACTCTATTTCAAGATTCAAAACAGCACATCAATCACATCACAGCTAAATCCATTACGAGGACAAACAAATGTCAAATAACAAACATTATAAATTCAGGCGATGGAGAAGAATAACAGAAAATTTTCAGAAAAGCAAAGATTCCACACTAATTACAACACAAAACCTACTTTGCTTACAGGAAGGAAAAACAAATATTAGGTCAAATTACCTAAAAAAATATAATAACATTTACAATTCAGCGGAATCAGAACACTCAGGAAAAAGGGAAATCAAACATCAAATTACCAAATCTATTATCATTGAACAGAAAATTTGTTTGACATAGACCAACAATAGGAAACAATTCTAAACAACAATAAGGTAATTTACCTACCAAGATATTAAGGTTTGTATGCAATAAACAATGAAATAAAATCATACAGTCATCCATAAACTGCAGCATTTTAGAAGTTGAATATATCATAAAAGCATCAATATATTATATTCATAACAGACAAATATTAGAGTAATAACAGTCATGATTAATATGAGCAAATGGATTGAGGTGTGAACAATAAACTCCAAGATGACCAATAACTTCATATGAACTCTTAAGGAAGATTAAGGTTCTATTATAAATTCAAATCTAGATGTAATGGTTAGGTGGATAAGAAAATTTGGAAAAGATTATGTTACATGGTGTAACCAATCTACTTTATCAATCATAAACAAGTACAACATACCAAGATAAAAGCATTAATTATTTTCACTTTTTATGTGTCCCATTAATTATTGTTCAGAATATATTATTTTGACGGGAAGCAATCCTTGTTTCTCAAAGTATTTATTTTCTCTATCATCTCCTTTTCTCCTAATACGTAGTATAAAATTACTTGAACGATTTTAAAGTGCTATAACTTTTTTGTTATATAATTTTCTTTCAGTCCTCAGCATCTTTAAACCAAAACTTAACAAACTTAACACATGTCGGAGGAAATACTCCTAGAGCCGACAAATAAATAACATGTGAAAGAGCAAGATGAGAAACAACTCATCTAAAATGACCAAAGGTGGATTATTAGGGGGGAAATGGTTCCACAGCCATATCTTTTGCTGTTTCAACAAAATTATGCTTACAAAAATTATCAGCAGAAACATAACAAATACTAACCAATGTTGCGAGGTAGGGGTATATTGAGTTTGGTTTGGCAAAAAAACATTCTAAGGAGCAATAGGATGATATCCTGTAAAACATAGATTGACAAATTGATGGACAAATGGACAAATGGACAAACAGACAGACAAGTAGATAGAGAGAGTCACAATGATTGATATTTTACTAATGCCATAATGCATATTCCTGATTTGAAAACAGTCATCAAGAAAACCTTACAGATATTAAGAACAATCATAAAATCTGACGAAAATGAATAAAGAAGATGAAAAATCTTGGCTGAAATTCAAGTCACTTTGAGAAGGTTATTTTGCCTCTTCAAACTTACATAAAGATTTATCTTGGTCAGGAAAAAAGAAGAAGTTAAACAAATATGCAGTCTACACAACATCATCCAAGTGCCACTTGAGCTTGTGTCTGTGTGTCTGTGTGTATAATAGCCAGCTACGGAAAGACAGAATTATCCAAAAATCAAATTTGACTTGGAAGTGGTTAAAAGCAGAGCTTCTCAAAACACATTAAATCAGCTTTAGCAAGATTCCAAATTGGCGTGAGGAAAATCCTGCAATCCAACTTAGATCTTAGAACCCCAAATGCTTTGAAAGACAAAAGAAAATTGTGAACCACATAGCCTATACAACGATAACTAAGTTCAACAGTCTGATGCCAAACTTGCTAATGTAATTCCAGTTTAATCAACATTAAAGCATACTCATACAGACGCAATAAAGTGATCAACAATATATCTAAGTTAGCATCCTGTCATTGCCAAAACAAACCATAACAAACTAGAACTATGAGTTTTATATGAACTAAAAAAGATCATTAGCAATTGCAATTTTACTATTAAAGGCCATTAAAAGATTTTAAATTGCGGCCAAATATTGTCCCAAAACCCTTCATTCCTGTAAACTCAAAATCCCACAAATTGTCTCAAGTTCATATATTTCTCAATACCCACCCAAAAAATCTCAGTAAAAAACCCATCATCCATTTCATTCAAAAACAACTAAATATCTTCATACATTCCTCAAAATTAAAACAAAAAAAAAAAAACAAAAATAAAAATAAAGATACCAAAAGAGCAAAACAGAAAGCTTTCTTTAAATGAAGAAAAGAATAAAGAAAGAAAAGAAAAACTCACCATAATGGAAATGAACTGAATGAGTCAACATAAAACCTTTGAATTCCGTAGAGGAAGTGAACAAAAACAGAGAAATCCAGGCCAAAAGAAATAAATCAAAAAAGAGAAAAAAATTCCCAATTACCGACTATAAAACTGGAAAGGGTAGAAACAAAATATGAGGCGTTTGTTTGTCAGTTCAGTTCTGTCGGGAGCAAAAATGTCTGCCTTTCTGGGTTTTGAGTTTTTTATCTTCCTTTATCAGTTTACCCTTTTTTTTTCGACTTGTCCATTTTTCTGCTTGGCTTGTGGTTTGGGGATACTAAAAGAGGAAAAAAAAATTTATTAGCGGCGCCGTACATATGAACGAATTAAAGAATAGTGTTGAACACGTGAAGGCGACCGAGGTGTGGCACTTGGCTTGCCCTAGGCGTGACAAAATGGTGTGGTTTGGACGAGACCGAAGATTCATTCTATGGTTTAAATGGTGTGTCAAAATCAACGGCTAGCTCTAAAGATTCATTCTATGGACGTTCAGATTCGGTTTAATGAGATTAAATACAATAACACAAGTGAAATTAATTATTATAAAATTAAAATTAAAATTAATAATAAAATAAAATTTTAATGATTTGTATATTTTTATTATATAAAATATTAAAATTTATATATTTATATCATATTTTATATAAAAATTATATATTATAATTTATGTTAATAAAATATATTTTTTAATTATATTAAATTCATATATAATAATTATTAAAATGTTAAATCATATCATTTTCATATTTTATTTTCATATTATATTTATATCATGTCACTATATTATATTTTATTTTATTAAATTTAGTAAAATATTTATTTGAATGTAAAAATAATTGTGATAGTGAAAAGAATTATAATGAGAATAAAAATATTAAATTAAAAATTATATATAATAAATTTTTAAAATTAATTAATATTTAAAAAATTAATAATATTTATAATAGTTTATTAGTAAATAATTAATTTTTATTTATTAAATAATAATAAATTTTATTTATTGTTTCATAAATTTTAAATAAAATATAATTTTTAAAAATAAAAAATTAAGTTGTATCGATATTTTGTTTCTATAACTTAATTTGAAGAATTAAAAAAATAATTAAAAAAAACCCAATGTGACGCTAAACCAAAATAATTCGATAAATAATTGATGAAAATCAAAACGCACAAACATTTATTTGGATCTCACCCTTACCATTGGCACAAAATCCCATGCTAACTCCAAGTCTGAAGTTTAGCATTCAATTGCACCCTAAAAGATAACATCATATTTGGAAGCGAAGTGAGATTACAACCAGCGTAGTTTGTCAATGTCATAACAATTACAGAATCGAAATCTTAAGAGGAAGTAGATTCCGTGAGGTTACGGTTTCATTCCAGAACTCACATTTTTTTTTAATTTTAAATATAATTATTAAAATTGAATTGGTATGATAGTTTTAAAAGAACAAAATTTTTAATGGCTTATTTGTGAATATGTTTAATTTATATTTATTTATTAAATTTAATAAATAATTTTAAATAATATTTTATATTTATTTACTAAACGAATCGAATATGAGTAAAAATTTGTTTAATTTATTTATGTTTACAAATAAATTTATTTAAAATTCATATAAAATTCATTCATTTATTATTTATTTATAATAATAATAAATTTATATTTTCCCATTTATCTTAATTTTATTTTTAAAGTCATTTATATTCGGTTAAAGTTTGCTTATTTAAATTATTTTGTTATAATTTATTTATTATTTATAAATATATTAATTTATATATATTTATGAATATATTTATTTAATATTTATAAAAAAATTCTTTTAATTTAATTAAAATAAATACAAACTGAATACAAACATCTTATCATTTAAATGAATCAAAATTAAACGAATAAAATAATTCTTTTTACCAAACACGAATCAAATCGAATACTTTTAAAAATAAATGAACAAACCTTAAACATACATCCACTCATATTCGATTTATTTACTATCTTAATGGTAATCGAATTGTTCCATCTAGTGACCTTATCATCGATTCGGTTTGTAATTGGCACAAGGAAATCCAAATTGATCTATCAATTTTGTAAAAACATTTCTTGACCAGTCAATTTTTTTGTTAGTTGAAATAAATTAAATATAATTTTTTAAATGATTATAAAACCATATTTAACTTAAATTTTACATATTAATTATCTATTGATTCTTTTATATTTTTTATTAAGAATTATTTTTCTTCAAAAAAAGTAAAAGAAATTGTAAATATAGTTTTTTTAAATTAGTAAATAATAAGTATTTTTAATTCTTATATTATAATTTTTAGTTTATACAATTAAAAATATTTATATAATCTATAATTTTATTTATGATATTCTATTTTTTTTAATTTACTATTGACCCGAATAATCCAACTATCGAAATAATTATAAACTATTATTTTGTTCAAGACCCAAAATCTTGACCAGTCAATAATCAATTTGATTATGATAATTATGATTTTAACTTTCTTTATAAAATAAATCATAATATCCTTATAATATTTAGAATAATATAAATAACCTTGCATGATATTTTATCTACTACCTTATAATACTTATAATTATATCTAACAAATTCTGTTTTTTTTTATAATGTTATGAAAATTCTTATGAAAATTTCTTATGATATTTTTGTTTGATGAGATTAAGATTTAGAGTTTATGATTTTTTTTCTTAATTGAATTTTTGGATTTAAAGTTTAGAGTTCTTTGTTTTTGGATTTAGAATTTAAAATTTAAATTTTAGAGTTAAGGTTTTATTTAAGTTTAAATAATTTATTGGATATGCATATTTTATAAGTTAAATAACTTATAGAATATGTATTTTTGACAAGCTATATAATTTATTAAAAATGTATATTTGATAAGGCATTCGATTTATCGCATATGAATATTTAAAAAAAATTTAAATATAAAAAATAATTAAATAATTTTACTTAAAAATAATTTAAAAAATAAAAAATACATATTTAATAAGTTATTTCATTTATCAAATATGATTATTTCAAGTCTTTTAAAATATAAACAAGAATTAAATAATTTTACTTAAAGATCATTTTAAAAATAAATAAAATGAGTGTAAAGAAAGGAAGGGGCCGCATTTAGAAACTTTTGCTCATCTTAACGTTTTTATATGCTTTGAAATTCTCGTGATATTAGAACTATCTTTAAAAAATAAATAAAATGAGTGTAAAGAAAGGAAAGGGGTGTATTTAGAAACTTCTGCTCTAAATTCTCGTGATATTAGAACCATGGCTTAAAAATTTTTTGGGATTAGTCAAAGTTAGGGCCATCATCTCCACTTCCCCCAACGCGCCTGCCACCCGATCACTAGTAACTACCCATTGTCTGCCAAGCCCAAGAATAATGGGAGCAAGCATTGGGAAATACATTTTTGTGTTTGAAAGAAACAAGTATCTGGAACTTCATCCACTGAAACAAGGGCACTGAAATGGCGTCAAAACTGAAACGATTTTGCGGCAGGACTTTGGCAAAAGGATTGATTTAGGGTATGCACGTTTTTATGACATATGAAATTGTAATTAACATGGGGCAAAATATTAGAAAATCACGTGTTGATCAAACTATTGATCTTAGAATAGTCAGTTTGTAATGATTCTACAAGAATAGTACGGCAAGACCCAATTCACAGTAAGATGTAAGGCTGATGAAAACTCCAAGCCTGCAGTGTTATAACCAGGTCGACCAATTTCATCTGCTATGGTGACTCTGTCTCTGGTTTCCGCAACAAATACTAAAGATGTCGAAGTTACGTGTTTTAGGGTTTCCCCAACAAAACAAGCAGGCCTATTCTGAAGTGTGCAATTAAGCACTCATTTAAAGAGCTTATCCTGTGGAAAATGAGATGGTTGTGTTCCCTGTTGAAGATGAGCTCATGCATCTATCAAATAAAGTGGACGATCAAGGAATTTGAAAATCTAAAGTGGATAGCAAATGATGTAATGACAGAGTTGAGAAACTTCAAGAATTCTGAAAATATCTTTCGTACATGTGCATATGCATTTGTTTCCTGGAAGAGTTTCAGGCTGAAAAGCAGTCAGCTAGATGTTCTAATTCTGGCGGCTTTAAAGAGGAACATGCAGAATTAAAAATAAAACTCTAAGCACCATTCCAGCGGGCAATACAACACATCTTCTCTTGAAAAATGAAACTGAATCCTCTTAGTTTCACTTGAAATACAAGTTGACCATATCATTTTCCTGGGACATATTATCCCCATATATACTGGTAATATCTCAAACGAGCAAACACAAACACTAACAACATTTTAGATATATCATCGCAATTAAACCTAAAAGGGAGAAAAAAGGAAAAGACCTTCAAAATTCTGTCAAAATTTAAAGCTTCAGATATTCTCATACAAGCCACAATTTGTTTCCACACCTTCATGTAGCTTTCTGAGCTAGGCCCAGCTAAAATGGCTCCTAGGTGTCAACCACCCTGCATCATCATCACTAGGACTGTTATCTCCATCGAAGTTCAAAATGTCTTTACAATCTGCAAAGAAATTAGACCCGATTGGTCTCATTGATAGCAAAACTGGAAGTGCTGCTTCACCTCTGAGAATCCTAGCAGCTTCCTTAACTGTGGTTCTCTTCTGATGGTTCGGGTGCACACAACAAAGACACACCATGAGCATCCTTACCACCCCTAATATATTGTACCTCCCTGAAAGTCTAGAATCAGCAGCCTGCCAACCTCAATTAGTTTCCTTTCCACCCATAGGTCCCAAACCCAGTCAACAAGCACAGTTCCATCTTCATCCACGGGCCTCTTTCCAGTAGCCACGCCAAAGCTGTAAACATTAGTTTTTCCAGATGGAACACCATAATAAACATACTGAGGTGCGATATATCCTATCGTCCCAGCTGGTATTGTAGCTTCTCTTAAAGCACAACTATGTTCATAAACTTCCGCTAGACCAAAATCGCCAAGCTTGGCATTGAATTCACCACTGTTTCTAAATAAAGCTTTTCCATAAACGGTGATTTTTTTTGGTGGCAAGAGAGGGAGTGAAAGTGAAGGAAAAATGAAGTTCAAGAGGAAAAAAGGATGGACCCAGAAGACAAATAGGCAAGAAAGTTGCATTGTCAACGTTGTGGAAGTGAGAAGATGATCTTCTTTGATTGAAAGTTAATAGGAACGAGATAGTTCTTGAGAGAAATAGAGGTTTTACTGTGAAATGTTAGAAAAAGGTGGTAACAAAAAGAGAAATTCTCGCTTGTTTGATCTTTCATCTTGTATGTTTCTATTGATGAATCTTGTTTCTCTAGAACGTTAACCAATCGGAATCCATGACAGAATTAGACTGCAGGGAGGTTTTGGAGGGAAATAAAATAAAGCAGTTCCTTAACCCACCCAGATTGAAACTCTGAGCCCTGGGTCCTCTTTCTGCCCACAATAAAGTTTGTTTCATTTTGTTTTTGTTTTTTTCTTCTTTTTTCATTTGTTTTTCTCGTTCTGAGTGAATCTAATATAAAATTCTGGCAAAAAAATCTAACTAAAGAAAATCTAAACTTAAAGAGATTATTTGTTATCTTCGAGGAAAAAGAAGAAAAAACATGAAAGTTTAAATTATTTTTTTATAAGCATAAATAAATTGCATTTTGTCATCTAAATACTTTTGAGACCCATAAAAAAATTTTCTGAAGAAAAAATTAAAAAAAAAACAGAACTGAAAGGGACAGAGTGCCACGAATGTGTTTCTTTCTATCCATTGGAGTTTTAACCTTGAGGAACATATGTCAATTTTTCATGAATATTTGATTGATAGTTTGATACCACACGTTATGCATATTTGAAAGCTAAAATCTTACGTTGTATTCTGCTTAGGAAAAATGTGCTTGTTCTCACCTGCTGTTTTCCTCTGAGTTTTTTCTCACTCAGGCTGGGCTTCTAGGCCAACCAAACTCAACCTTAGAACTTTTGAGCATCCTGATCCTGAATATTGAATAGCCATTTGTTCCCTTGAAGCAAAACGATGAAGAAAGGTCCTTAATTTGGCAGACTGTTACTTCACCGTCCAAACAAATCCTCTGCAAACTTAAAACTTTGTGGCGGGGGAAAAAAAAAAAAAACCGTTGTTAAACGGCATCGTGTGTTTGGGAAATTCATTTTATCCAAATTGGACTATCCAGCTTTGCTTATTCCAACAACTGCTGGTGCTTATTCCTCAAACTTGCACCTCCCCAAGCTTTTTAGTCAAGTTAGAAATAATTGAGCCAGGAAATAGCTGTTATGGAATTGAAGATACTTTGAAATAGAAGAGCATATTCCATGACCTGCATAGCTGGTCTGCTTTGAATCTGCACGATTATGGAAGGCATGTTTGCACGATTTCAGTTGGTAAAATATGTAATGCCCTTTTTTTTTGGAGAAATATGAAAATTTCAAGGCCGTTTTGTGGAGATGGCGGTTGAGGCAAATGAGAGGTGATTCTTTGGGGGCAGAATGGGAGATATATGGGTTTTCAAGGAATGGTATGTGAAGAGTGATGAAATGGGTGGGCAAGGGATCTGTAGTCGGTGATTGGTGGAATAGTGATTTCGGTAGGCAGAAGGGAGACTCAAAGACGCAATAACCTCACATCTTCATTGCTATAGCTTGTTTTTTTCCCCTTGCTTTGCTGGGATAGGTCATAGGACCACAAACATGCCATTGACCTTTTTTCTTCTTCTTTTTATGGTCTCGATCAACCAGGCAATGAACAGAATATTGCGCAACCACGGTGCTAAATTTTTTGCAAGAGACAATGTTTACTTTTTTTTTTCAGGGAAAAACTATATTTGGCCATGGATGGAACACGCTCCCAGCGAGATAACGTTTCTTTGAACCCGTTTGGGAGGGAGGACTATTCTTCTGCTATGTTTCACAGAACATTTGCGTATTGAGAAGTCCGAAAAAAGTTGAGGAGAAGACTAATCCTTCACAGCAATGCGGCAGAGCGTTTTCAAGTAACATAAAATATTTCAGAATCATGAATTTCAAGAACATTTTAGAAAATCAATGACGATCCCGTTCCCGTCTTGAACAAAAGTGAGCTGTTCCCATCTTCCGCATAATTCTAGTATCTGGCTATTAGGATAAGTCCATGCTGCAAAATTAGTCCTAACAACACAAACCCATGGAAGAAATTCCACCGCAAAAGCTGAAAACATTTACAGAGACAAAAGAAAAACTGTATGAAAAAGATTCAATTCAACAAAGCTTGCGAAGCTCCTTCCCCTATTGGCAAGCACCTGCAAATCTGCAACTCTCTTCGCCTTGCATTTCAGTGACTTGTTGCAAGTTTCAACTCCCATGTCAACAACCTGCAATTGTCCATTAGAGGTCCCAAAGTGCTGTAAATTAGTTTATTTTCTTTCTTTTTCAGGAGCTTAATCACAAAGAATTGCATTCAGTTCTACTTCATCCAGTTTTACTCATGAATTTCTCACATTTTTAAAAAATATACAGCAAACTAAAAAATGGCAATAACAAAAATATGACTAACTGGTAATTCCATTTACAGTACTAAAAGAAAATGTTTTAAAAAAATCTTTGAATTTCCTTTTCTTTCTCCTGTGTATATTTATGCCAAAATGGAAACAATTAGAAGCAAAAATCTCAACAAGGCCTAATATGGGTAGTCTTGGTTTCATAACTTCCCAAACAACGATCTTTGCAGCCAGCCCTTAGAGCCTTCACCAAATCCCTGCACATCATCTTCACATTCCCCTCGCCTTCTCTTTGCATTACCACCAAAATTTTGGTCACTCCATTCCCTTTAGCCACCTCTTCTTTCACTTTCTCGTCTTTGCTCACGCAACACATGCTCCACAGCACCAATACGGCATCCTCCGTCGCCGTTTTTGACATCTTCAGCAACTTTTCAACTATCCCCGCCGCCCATTTCGGTTCCGAACCGATCGCTAACCTGCCTTCGCTGGAAGTGCAAAGTATTGCCAACAACTTCAATGACTTTTCAGTTAGGGTGTTTGATAGGATCTCAACGGCGCCGTTTTGGATGAGGAGGGATTTGATTGAACGAGTTATTGACACGGTGGTTAGAAAGGAGGTAACGGCGTCGTTTAGAGATTGATTGTTGCTGGTTTTTAGGAGATGGAGAAGGATGAATATAAGGTTTTGTGAGTCGGCGATTTTGCGTTTGGATTCTGAGTCCAGTGCGAGTGAGTCCAGAACTCGGACGGATTTGATCTTCGAGTTGAGGCTTCCGTTTTGGAGAATTAAAACGATTGCAGATAAGATATTGTTTTCCTGATTGCTTTTGAGGATTAATTTGTTTAACCGTTCTTTGACTCCGTCTTCGCCCAAAATCAAATCCAAAATCCTAACCGACATTTCCAAAGCTTCGATTTCCACACATTTCCTTGTCAAAACGCAGGCGATTACCTCAACGAAACCGTCGAGTGTAACTACAAATCTCCTGTTCTCTTCACAAAAGCTTACGAATTCGACGACCTTAGATAAAGAATCGGCGCAGCTCTCGCTCTCAATCTTCTCTATCAATAGCTTAGCTTGAACCTCAGAGATCGCCGGAGTCGCGGCCTGTAGCAGCCGCGGAGAGTCAGACCCAGGCCGGCGAGTGGAGGATTGGACCCAGAGGTTAATTAGACGATGGAGAGTGAGATTTGGGACGAAATCCTTGGAAGGAAGAACCTGCATGGTGGCGGGACACGTGTTGTGACCGGATTCGAGCCATTGCTGGATGCTAGAACGATCGTAGGTAACGCCCGTACAGAGGCTAACCGGAGACTTCATTACATCCAGTGAGATTGGACACCGGAAAACACTCGGTACTGTTATGTACAGCTCCTCCTTCACCATTTTTTTTCTTCTTGATTTTTGTTTCAGGGGAACTAAAATAAAGTTGTCTTTTTTCCTCGTTTTTTCAGAGAGCCTTGCCTTGTTCAGAACGAGTTTGGAGAAGAGAAAGTGGAGAAGGGGAGGTTTTTATGGAGGCGAAAGAGTCAAAAGATACGTGAATGATGTCGTTTTGAACGTGTCATTTTGGGCGTGGGGGTCGTTGGTCAAATGCGAGGACTGTTTTAGAATTTATTTATTTATTTATTTTTGACTTCTCATACTAAATTGGAATTATTTTATTAACCAATATAATAAATTTATGTAGGCGTGTAATGAGTAGGATGAATATCAACGTAGAGCACGGGGCAAAAACCAAGACTTTTTGACAGCTTGCTTCTCTTCTCTCCGCGTAGTCCAACACCAAAATGACTAACTACGAGAATCCAAGGTACGAAGTATGAACGCAGAATTGCAATTCTGTTTAACTTTCTCTTGGTAACAACTATGGAACTATTCGTTAGCAGATATTTATCCTGGATAAGTACCAGAAAGCTATTTATTTTTAAGAATATATATATATATATTAGTACCTGATTGTGAAAAATATAATTTAAAAATATAACCTTGACAAGTGCATTTAAAATACCATTCATTAGGCAAGATAAATCCACATAATTATAGACTTGAAACTCTTAAAAATTTAGAATTCAATTCAATGTTGTTTAAACCGTTGAAAACGATGAAAACCCTATCATTGCATTGTTCCGCCAATATAAAATGACTCTTAATCATCTTACCAAGATCAAAAGTTATGTCTCTTCGAATTGATTGCCACCTTATGTGTGTCATTATAAGTAGATTATTGGAGTACTAATTTAATCACATACAGTAGTGTAAAAATAGATTAATTTAATCGAAATTCTTTGTGGAATTTACATCGATCTTGAAATTCTGGTCCTATAGAATGATGTGCCTGACATGAATGTATAAAATAAGTTGGTAAACATGGTTGACTGGACTCTTTCCACAAGTTGAGATTTGCGTCAAGATTTTAGACTGCTGTAATCCACAATTGAAATTTGAGTCATGTGGCTTCGCCAGCCGGAGAGAAAGTCTTAACCATATGTTTTCTTACGTTACTGTCGCCATTAATATGATTTGATAGCAAAATCAAATGTCTATATCTACATTCAAATTATATTTAACCTCCTTACCCCAAAAAACTTAATTAAATTTAACCTTTTTTGAGATGTGATTTTTAGACTCTGTCATCTACAATAGTGGGATTGGTCAAAATATGAAGCCTAGTTTTTTCTACAATGATATATACTCTGTATACTTCATATATATACATAAAATATATAGTATTCTGATTAGTTTTTCCTTCATCAAAACTGTTTAACTTTAACTTAAAATTATTTTAAATATTTCATCGCATTAACTTTTAACAAATATACATTGAAAATATACTTTTTCCAAAGTTGCTCATGAATACTTTTTAAATTTTTAACAAATAATATTTGAAAATAAAATGCAATCAAAGCTTAAAAAAAATTGATAAAAAAAGTTAAATCAATAAATTATATATGGAATGGAGAAAGTATAAACTATCATGTATATTGCATTATTAGTCCGTAAATTTTTTTATAATATTTTATTTTTATCTATATTTCTTTGAATTTGTTTTTAATTTATTCATCTATTGACGTGCCTTTAGAATATGGACAAAGTTTATCATTAGTATGTTTAACCAAACAGACGATTATAAATTTAATCCATTTTTCGTTCATATTTTAATAATGTTTATGTTTGTATGTGAATCAGTTCCAAATATAAATCTAAAAATCACAGATGAAATTAAAGAATAAAAAAGAAGTATTATACAAAGCTAATTCTGTATTAAATATTAATATCTGTAGCATAATTTACTGTCTACGCCAACACTATGTAACACCAACAACGACAAGAAGAAACGTCGGGTGTGTGCTTTCAGAGCTTTGAATCTAACGCATCAAACTTCAAAGGGCAAGAAAATGTTTAACACTGTGGGTCTGGGAAGATATAATTAGGGAGGGAGAGGGGGGGCCTTCTTGACTCTTGACCCAACCGACCTACATTTTCTATATATGTATATATCCATATATTCAATCTCGAGCTACCACCACAGCCCTTCCAGCGTGGTTTTAATTATAGGGTCTTCACTCACTGTTAATGAGTTGGACCCGGCACTTGGTCACCGACTTCGAGCCGGCTACTCCAGCTCCTGCCCCCTTTTGGGTGCCCAGAAGTTGACTCGTGAAGATTTATTTTTCATAGACCGAGTCAAAGAGAATGACCTGGTTGCGATTGGGTTAGTGTTGCCCACGACCCACGTCCAGTTGACTGGAAATATTGGGATAGGATTAAATGAAACAAAAGGGTTAACCATAGGAAAGATGGTGAATGGTTTGGTGAACCTTAACTCTGAGTTTTAAACGTAGAACATGGCAGCTCTCTCTTGAGTTAAGGCATATTAATTGTCATCTGACATCCACCTTCTTCTCTTCGTATTTTACTTACAATTTTCTTCCTTTTTTTTAAAAAATTTTGTAAGTATTTTACCTACAATTTTCATTTTTATAATATTATAATAATTAATTATAATAAAAAATTATATAAAAATTCATCACTTATAAATAAAAACAATATATAATTTTTTATAAATTTTACATAATATTAAATTATAATTAATTAATTATATTACAATAATTATAAATGATCTCAAAATACTAAGAAAACAAGTGGTTGGAATCAGTTAACTAACCCAATTTATTGATGTTTTTGTTTTTTTTTATTTTTTTAATAAAAATTAAAAATAATAAAAATAAAAATACCAGTCAAAGAAAAAAAAATTTTAAATATGTATTCTTTGATTAATTAATTTCTTTCTTCTACCTTTTGAAATTTGTTGAAAGAAAATTAAAGTCAATCCAAACTTACCAAGTTAATCAGTTCACGAATGAGTTTTTTATTTTTTAGTGTTTTTCACGAAGATGCAAGGTCTAACTTTAGATTTTACTATTAGGTCTAGAGTAGCCCAAATTATTTACTATTTAGGATTTGGCCCCAATTGAGTTGGACAACTAACCCAAACATTGTCCACCTCATTGAAACAAACTCTACTCTACTCTCTATCTTCAACCAAGCTTAGTTTAACTAGTTGGAACAAATTTCGGATAAAAATTTTTTGGTTCCTTATTCTACCAAAACGAGGACTAAAGACTTGATCAAGATGTTCATTAGATAACAGTTTGCGAAAATTTTTATTTAAAACGATCTAATAAAAATGTTATTAAAAAATTTAAATAGATGAATTAGTAGAATTTACTATAAATATCAATAATATATATAAAAAATTGTCAAAATGGCATTTATAATTTAAATTTGAATAATATTTATTTAAAGATTAAAAAAATTTTAAATTTTGTAAAAATATTTATTTAAAAATTTATGAAAAATTTTAAAATTTTTTAAAATTTACATATTTGATTTTTGTAATAAGACATCTTAATTTATCAATTTAATTTTTTTATTTAATCATTTTTAATAAAAAATTTCGTAAATTTTATCTTAAAAACTATGTCTAAAACTTTTCCTAAAATGAATGAGTTCCCGGATAACAAGTCTTAAAAAGCCTTTTTTTTCTTTTTCTATTCCAAAATTGCCTCTAGTAACATTTGATCAATTTAACCTTTTAATTTCCAAATGTTGGAGCTGATGCTAATATTTCAGTTATGGTCTATTATCAATCATGTCTAAAAGCTTGACGTTTCATTCAAACCTTTTTTACTAACCAGCAATGGCTGATGCTTTCCTAAATGAAATTCTCTCTTGTAGTGGGTAAGGGTGTAAACGAGCTGAGACGAGTCGAATAGTGAGAAGTTCGAGTTCGATCGAGTTTTATTTTTCAAGCTCGAGCTCGATTCGTGATCGAATTCGAGCTCGCTCGATTAAGTTTAATTAATATGTAAAAATAAGCTCGATTCGTATATTCGACAAGAGTTCGATTATTCATACTCGAATTCAAACTCGAATTCGAACTCGAAATATTTTATTAATTAAAATAATAAAAATATATTTAAATATAAAAACTCGATTAGGCTCGTGAGTTACTCGAGTCAGATATAAAAATATTCGAATTCGGTTCGATCGATAAGTCGAGCTATTCGAGCTCGAACTCGACTCTACAATAATCGAACCGAATTCGAATTTTTTTCGAATCGAACCCGAGTAACTTACGAATACTAATGTATCATTTACACCCTTAGTAGTGAACATGCTTTAAATATTTTTTCCGCCAAAAATATTTTTTATATATATTCGGAAGGCATCTAAATTAATTTCCTTTGACAATTGCAGCAAAAAGGCTGCCTATCACGTTATTATTCTTCTTGGTTACTGCTTTTCAAACTGGATCTTTGTTTCTGGTAAGTGCAATTTTGAATTCAATATTTGTCTAACTAGAAAAGTATTTACCCCAAGAAAAACCAAGCCCCATTGGCCATTGACAGATCATCTTAGTTGGGGATCACATGGCCATGCCATTTGAAGAAAACAAAGAAAAGAAAATTTCCACTCACATATTTTACCCCACACCCTGAAATTTTTTCACTATCCTGAATTTCTAGTACTATTGTAGTTAGGTTTTTTGAACAGACAGGGCCACATGAAACATTTATAGCTCCCTGCCTTTTGCCCAAATTAAAGTTGAGCAAAAAAGGCTGAAGTCTTGTTCACAGATCATGAAAAATCCATCAATCTGTCTCCCAGTTCATATCTGCTAACAACTGAAACAGCAGTTGGGGTCACTTTATTCACTTGGGGACATGACATCAGGCCCCATCAACATTTGTTAAACTCTCCTCCCTTAACCTCATAGGATTGGGGGCGTTGGCCATTTCGGCATGCCCTACATTTGTTACCCCCCGAATTAAAGGAGCTGCTACTTTCCTTTGCCCAAAGGTGTCCTACCCAGTACCCTGTTTATCTCTCCGCTGTCAAAAGTAAGAAAAAAAAGAAAAAGATGGAGTACTACAAGAAATTGAAAAGATATACACCACAGCTGATGCAATATAGAATGAAATAGCGAGGATAGTGTTGCTCAGAAGAGATACGAAGTAGTGGAAAAAAGGACACAAATTTTTTATTATGCTAGAAAGGACAGTTATTTAATACTCCATATAGGAATGGACTTGAAAGAGAGGGTGGGGGTGTTTGTTTTGTGCAGGAGTAAGGGAGAGAATGTGAGGGCTATTAGCCTATTGTAATCAATAAGTCCTGGTTGCATAGAGGCAAGGGACAAGTTTCCATGTCGTGGGACTTTGTTTAACAGTTCAAGTACCCCAGTCGGCCATTCAATTTGATATGGTCCTACTTCTTCACCTAACCAAACTACACAATTCCTTCTTTTACTCCAAATCTTTCCATTTGTTTCCAATTTTTTCTAATTTTCTTTGCATAATCTTTTGGCACTTTATGCACTGTCAATACTTTTTCCTCCAAACACATTTCCTAAGGACCCGTTCAATCGAACCCTCTTCAATACAATCCATCCTTTTTATATTATAGTTATTAATGCAATAAACTATTGTGCAAAGATGTTTGATTAATTAATCCTTATTAGTAATAGTCATGAAAAGCTCAAGCCAAAGCACCTGACCCCAGCACCAACAGCATTTACTTCTATCTCATGCTTTTGCATATACAAATTCATATTTCTTCTTATACAAGCCACCCCCGAAACAGTCACCAACATACCAAACATCTTTCATTTATACATTATATATATTCTTTGGGGCATAATCTTTTGTAATTTGCGCCATAAAGTGAACAACTGAATCTCCTTCATTCAACGATTCAGTTTAACAACTCCTTCTCTTTCTGTCTTTCTCTTTGGATTTCCTCCCTTTGTCTTCTTAAAGTGATTAAATGGGCAGCAGAAAACGTCTGGTTCTAGTTCTCTGGCTGTTGTTATTGCTCTTCATATTTTTGTTTGGTCAAGCTCCTGGTTCATCATCGAGATATTCTCATATGTTCAAGGTGAACCCGAAGTCCCATCAGAATTCACCACGCAGCTTCGATGGTGCCTTGCCAAAAGCAATGCCAATCCCACCTTCTGGCCCTTCAAAGGAACACAATGACATAGGATTACAAAGCTCAAGAAGATTTCCATGAAGATCAATAGGAAATTGAACAAAGAGATATATATATATTGTAGTACATATTATAGCATGAAAGTTCTTTCCCATTTTTCCTTCCAAGTTTCATTCAACAAAGGAAAAATATAGATGCAATGCATGGAAACGTAGATGAAGATGCGATTATATATATTGGTGGGTACCCTTTTCTTCTTGTTTGGATTGTTTTTAAGATGTCCATGATTTTTCTTGGTATGTAAATCCTCCTTGCTCTAAGGAGATATTCACATTGCATTGAAGCTTTCATGGAATGCAATGAGTAGTTTCTTCAATATTAACAAAAAAAAAAAAAAAAACCATTTTTGTTTGTACCAATGAAAGACAAGAAATTAAAATGCAAAACTACTAGTGGAACTTTTGTTTTTGAGCAAGTTCTTCATTATCCTCTTGAGTGTAGCTTATTCTTTTTGTTTTTTCAATATGTGATCTAATCAGAACGAGTTCTCTTACTTTGATAATGATGGATCTTTTTCGAAACTCATTTTCAAACCAATTTCCAGGTTTCAAAATATTTGGTGTCAAATTCATGGCAATTAGAAATGTGAAGATGCTACGTGGAGGAAACGGTGTGGTTGAGCTCAAAAGGGCAGATAAAGTGAAAATAATGCTCATAAATTATGTAGGCATGACGTGATATCCATCTTTCTATATTTATTTCTCTCTGCTTTCAACTCTTTGTGATTTTTCCCACAACCTCTCTTGTCCATATCCTATTCTACACCCGCTGCCTACAAGATATTTCTCTCTAATTTTTTTTAAATTTTATTTATAATCATAATTTTACATATTAATTACACATTTTAAATTAATTCTCCTGAAAATTGTTCAATACAGAAGTAAACATGTTTGTAATCATATTATAGCTCTCGCAACCAAAATCACACACCTACGCACTCACAAATCAGGATCAAAAAAATCGTCGGAACCTGTAGTATTCTAGCATGAAAATTTTTCGTAACCGAAAGTATTAAAAAAAAAAAGATGAAATCTAATCAAGGTAGTTCAGGTAAAGAGACGGAGTCTGATTCGATGGTATATTTCTTTTGGTGAGATCACTGATCTTTCAAAAGTTTTCTTTTGTTTTTAAAATTAATTAATGCATAGTGAGTGAGATGTGAATAATTTATAAAAATTACTATGACATTGTTGATATTCTATTGCTACTATATTACATGTTCATGTTTAGTTAACCGTCCAATCTAATGAAAATAATTTATAATTTTTTGCTATGAGTTTTTGAATATTTGTTGTAATTTGATGTTAATGATTTTAATTAGTAAAAATTCAAAAAGAATCACAAAAAACATCAAATATGCAACAATTAGTAAGTGTTTTAAGTAGTACTTGGTAAAAGTTCTTGTGCGGTATTTCTTCTTTTGAAAAGGTGAAATTATGGGGCAAGAAAGGTTATCGCTTATGTATGATTTCTTGAAAATTTTGCATTATTTCATTGATCAAGTAAAACTATAAAGAAGCATAAATTTCAATTTAAAAAAAAAAAAAAAGAGATGTATGTATTTTTGTTAATTTAAAAGTAATATATGTTTTTATTATTAAGTCAAATATTTAGGTATACATAACATTTATCTTTGAAATTGCTACAAATTGACTTGATTTTCATCGACTTTATTTACCAGTAGCCATTAATATGCCTTGATTAAATAAACTTATCAAATATACGGGAAAGCAAAATCATGTACATAGTTATTTGATAAAAATAGTGTGATTTGTTAATAACATATTAGATTTTTAATTTTTAATGACAGTTTCAAATATATATATATATATATATATGTATATATATATATATATATATATAAACACAAATCATCTTTCCTCTTTTTATGGGAGAGTGGAGAAAGGGATAAGAAAATTCAAAGACTCGTTCAACATTGAATTGCTCAAAATGTTTTGATTTCATGAACTTCTATTTTTCTAGTAAGGGTTTGCTCATGTCATGAATATAAGATGAGGAAATGATTTTCTAAGCAAGGCACTGAAATTCAACCGCATATTGTACGGACAAGTGGTAGCCATGTGAGACTATCATCAAAGGGCAAAGGCAGAAGGCAAGGTCAAAGGTGGTTAATAAACTTTGGATTTTGAGAGAGGGAAAATTCAAAGTGGGTTTGGTTTAGACAAAAAAGAGCCCTTAACGAAATTTGTAAACATTTTACAAACTGCCATGGAAATTTTCGCAACATTTTTAAGCTACTACTATACTATTTCTATTTGATTTTTGGTCACTTGGTTGACTTAAACAAGACTTTAAGCTTTTCCGACTAATAAATAAAGCAAAGGATTATGTGCTAACCTAATTCATTTCCAAAGCATAAAAGTAGTGAAACTGAACAGCAATTATCTTTTCCAACATGATCCTAATCAGAGCAGGAAATTCAATTTTAACATAATATGGGATATTCAAATTTATCCTCTTGTTTTCATCTGTTCATCTGACAAAACCTGATTAATCATACTCTGACAAGTGTGGCCCATTGATTGTCTATGGTTTCTTGATCTTAGATAGGCAAAGAAATTATGCATCATTTTGTTGGATATGCGGCTACTGCCAGACAAGGTTCACAAAAATTTCTTCCTTTTCAGAATTAGAAACCTAACCGTATGACATCATTGTCGGGTATTTCCTTCAAATTTATGAGCCTTTAATGATCATATTAATTGCCCATATACATATTGCTTGGCATTATTTTTTTATCTAAAAAATGAAATAGAGGAAAGAAATACAGCATCATGTAGTGATACATCTAAATAGTGCACAAATTGTCAAATTCTTCCTACAAATTACTAAAGTGTACGAGACTACTCACAAGAAATAAATTCTTATAAATTTGTTATTTATGTATTTTCTAGCTATTTATGAGTCGTCGGCTAACAAAATAGCAAAACTCAAGTTAAATAGCTGCATTAAGATGGCGACAATACATGATTTAAAGTTTTGTAAGGATCTTGTCGGCTATCAATAAAAAATGCAGCAGTGGAATAACTTCCTACATTGTTTCTTTCCTACACTTATAGAATGAATTATCAGATAACTAACTCCGTAACTAAATCAAAACATATAACAAAGTTTTGTAAATCCCAACCAAGCAAGTGATTAGCAATTTAGCATACCTCTTCTTCACCAAATTCTTAGTGCCCAGTTGCATCACACTGATGGCTCATGTTGATATTGTATAGTACTAAAACCCTTTTTGATCTCATGCATTGATCACGACAAAGACTACTTACCTATTCTTTCTTTTTCAATTGCATTCAAATTTGACTCGCAAATGATAATCTTATATACACTACAATACAAGGGATTTGTCAAGGGTAAATACCTATAAATTAAATGAAAGAAAAGAGGAGGGGGGAATCAAAAAAATATAATGAGCGAACAAAAAGAGAAATAGAAAAAGAAAAATGAAAACGGGGTTCATGCTTCGTTTCTCCCTCCCTAGACTCATCCCCGGCACAAATGGGTCGTCGATGGTAAATGTCCCTCCCTCCTATTCGTTACAGTTGCGAAGTGGGCGAGAGATTTCCCTCTGATCTGCGTGCAGTTTGCCCAGAAATTGATACTTTGTCTGATCCCCGAACATTGTACCTCTCATACACCTTTTCACGGTTTTCTGACCACCAATTTTCTGCTTGGTGCTCTCCAAATCTTCTCCGGCTGCATACAAAAAACACTTCTTTAACATCACATATCCATAAAGGTTAAACAGTTATGAAAAAGGTTTATGTTATGAATGGTCCCAAAAATATATTGCAATGCTCGACAAGGTATCTAAACTTTAAAAATTTCTACTAATATATGAAATACAAATCTATTAACTAATGTGATACTCACTCTTAACACGACTAGCTTCGAATGATGACACATGATGTACAAACAACACTTCAAATATTACATTAGATAATAAATTCATAATTCAAATACCTCATTTAATATTTTATTATAATTTAAGAGCCACTCGTGACATTAACCTTATGCAAACTGAGCATCCACCAACTTCATCGATGCAAGAAACAGACCCAGATAGATGGGTGCTTTTAATTCTTCAATTTTCTTCTTGTTTTCCCTTCAAAGGTTGCTTTTTTTCTTTCAATCATGTTATTAGAAATTATAAAATAATTAAGATAACTCGGGTCAAAAACCTACAATCCAAACCCACAGTTATTTCTGACATCAAATCCACAAATCATCAATTTTCTCGTTCATCTTTTCTTTTTTTTTTTTTTTTTTGCATTGTTATTGTTGTATTTAGCCAAAGCATAAAGAAAAGAAAACAGAAAATGTACCTGAAGCGCACTCGTTTGAGATCCCTAGTTCCATCCTGCAGTGCTACAAGAGTTATGTAGACACCAGGCTCATACTGTTCATTCCACTCAGCCTCCACTTGATTGCCATTGGCAACCAATGCGGAATTTCTAGATTTCATGCCATTTTCACCATCTCCAAAAGACCCAGATTCCCTTTCATCAACAGCCTCTGACACAGCACCATTGGCTCCAGTTGATTCCCTACGTAACTGGGCTCGGCTCTGAGTGCCATTGATTGTAGTAGAGTCGATTGCAGTGGGAGAAGCCAGGAAAGAGCCACCAATTGAATCAGATCTCGAATGTCCCTCTCCATTTGAATCTGGATAGTGAACACCATTTGGCTCCAAGCCATTTGGCAGGTATGCTGGTCTAATGTTCTCACTGTCATAAACTCCAGGAGGCAATCTCTTAGCCATATCCTTGAGCTGGAAGAAATAAATCCCTTTTGAGCATTATGAGAAGCAAATAGACAAGGCAAAGAAAAAGCTAAGATTGCAAACTGAAACCAAAATGTCACAATTAAGAATGCAAAGGATTTTATAATCACTAAAATAAAATGTACTTTTAATATATAAGCTAATTAGAGGAATCATTCAATCATCTTCAATAGCTAATAATGTTAAATAAAACATTATGCATATCATGAGTTTACATGCTTTGAATTTTCAAATTGATGCAAGTACAGGATGTGAACATTGCTTTGAAAGTTATGCCTAAATAACAACAGATTTCTAAAGGAGTTTAAAGAAACAATAGAGAGATTGATATAAAGCTTAAGGTAACCTGTGCTGTCAATGACTTTATAACTTCTTTGGCAGCTTTAGATTTAGCAGACTCCTCTGCAGCCACTGCCATAGCTTCCTGAGCTTTCTTTGTTGATTTTTGAAGCTCATATTCTTGGAGTTCACATCTCTGTCTCAGGGTCTCAACCTAGAAAAGATCCATAATTATCACAATTACATTGATTCAGTCTCCACAAGGCCCATCCCACTTTCCAAATCTCAGAATAGCCTCCAATTACAATATTAAAGCACCAGCAATTACAACAGTCTTACCTGTGCACGCAACTTAAGAACTTCTTGGTTAAAAAGTTCATTTGTCTTTTTCAAACCATCTGTGATACTTTTGGAGAAAGAAAGCCCTGATGTTGTTGGAATTGGGGTAGCAGAACGTGGTGGACTAGGTCTCCTTGAGAAAGGTGAAATAGATCTGGAACTTACTCCAGATGGAGTAAGAATTGGTTTAGAAACTGTCCATCGCAAATCTACAGCTGTAGACAAAACATCTTTCAACTGTAATAAAGAAGGTACTTGAGTAGAGTGAACCAAGGAGAACGTTTCAGTTTTTTTTCCTTGCTTGGCTGCTTTGTTATCTAACTGCTTAATCAAGTCCATATTAGGAGTTGCGGATTTGGATAATCTTATTTCAGTCTTATCCAACCTGTCCTTATTCTCACCTGAAAGGCGAGGCACAGAATTCCTCCTGCTATTACCAGCTTCTGAAACCTTGCTCAGTTTGGCAAAACAGGAATCACAGACACGATATGGTTTCCCAGGATTAGGAGCCAAAGCTGCTCTTAGTGCTTTCCTTGAACTGCAGGAATGGCAGTGTACCAGTCCACAGTTATAACAGTTATGCCTTTTTCTGGTGAAACCAAAAGCCTGTCTACAAGCCGAACACTGAGATTGGTCAGCACCAGATACCCATCTATGGAGACATATTGCAGCACTATAATTTGAACCACAAGCAATATATTTGATATGTCTATCCTTCAAACCCTCAACCAGAGTAGGAGTTTTTCGATCTTCAACATCCCCATGGCCCAACCTACCATTAGCTCCTTTTCCCCATGTATAGACTTCATTCTTGGATGTTAAAACCGCTAAATGATATGCACCACAGGCAATTTCTTCAACACATTCCCCTGAAACCTTGTCTTCTACCAAACATGGTATCTTTCCATCAGCATTGGGATTCCCAAGTTGACCGTACACAGTACTCCCCATTGTAAAAACATGCCCTGATGTTGTCAAACCAATTGTCAAACTATGTCCACAAGCAACTTTTTGAAAATTGTAATCAATTAGTGCTGGAACGCATGTGGGCTTAAGCCGGGGTTCCTTATCCCCATGTCCAAGACGATTTTTATCACCATCCCCCCATGTGAATAATTTTCCTGATGAAACACTAGCACTAGACTGAGTGACAATAACCTCCACAATGGCAGCAGTATGCCACACTCCACATGCCACAGCAATTGTTCTCAATCCTGACAGAGACTCTACTTCTCTTGGATACGGAACATTTTCTGTGTCACCATGGCCCAGGACACCAAATGTACCATCCCCAAAAGTAAACAGCTGTCCTGTTGATGTTATCAATGCTGTATGCCATGGACCACAAGTTACTGAAGCAACTTGAAGTCCCTCGAGAGGACCTGAAATTCTCTTTGGTATCCAATGGCTGACATCAGAACCATGACCAAGAAGGCCAGCATTGTGAGTTCCATCTCCCCATGTATAAAGTTCCCCAGACATTGTAACGGCGCAAGTATGAAATTCTCCACAGGCAACAAAATCAACATTAGTAACAGCCAGTGATTCAACAAGACGAGGTTGAATAACATCCTTGCCAACACCATGGCCAAGTCGTCCTCCAGATTCTTCACCCCATGTAAAAACTTCTCCTTGCTTTGTAACTAGGGCAGCATGCTTGACCCCACAGGCTACATGATGTACATCTGAAACTACATTAGACTCCAAAGGCCTGGGAAGAAGCACATCTGCTCTCGTGCTCAAATAATTGGCATTCTTATCAGCCACAATCGTCACAACATTATCACAGATAACCTCACCCCATATATACACATCCCCTAAAGCATCATAATCATCAGGTGCAAAACCATGACTTGAAGTACTTGGGGAGCTAGAAACACTTACACGAAAAACATCTGAACCAGATCCTTTCACTTGCATATTTGTGCTGTCTGATGCTACATGTGATCTTTCAGAATGAAGAAAATTCTCAGGCCGTAAACTGTTTGGAGAAGTGTTGGGGTTAAAACTGACAGAAACCTCAGGGGAGCTAATATCTCGAGTAGCGCTAACAGAACTGTCACTTGCACTATTTGAAGTCAGGTCTCTGCCATCCTGAAATCAATCAGTGAACATTTATGTCAAACACAATTTATAACAGTAGCTATAACAGTAACACAATTAACAAAATATTGGAAAGCTAGAATTCATATGCCAATAAATGAAAAAAAAAATCATAACTAAAAGAATAAAGAACAAAGCCTTAAAAAACAAAGTTAACCACCTAAATTTGTCAAACAACCAAGTGCATATGCATACAGACTTTATTCTTATTTAGCAAGAGCTTAGACGATAGTTTTGGAATTGATTCATGAATAACGAATAACTCTTGGGCAAAATATTGTCACATTTCCAAAATGTACAAACAGGAACCATTATGTATGGCACTTTATGAAACAGGAAAACCACAAAATGATTAGCCATAAGGAATCAACTAAAGATGGAATTACATCAAGGTAGAGGCCTCCATCACTCCAGCCATCAATTTTAGAGCGTCCACCCTGACCAGAGGTTATTAATGCTTTGAGGCCTGCAATCCAAACCTCTGCCTCAACTTTATCCTTGCAAATCTAGGAACCAACAAGGCATTAAATTAAAACAGGTGCAAATACAAGCATTAAAATATCAACAATAGTTGACTATTTATCTACAAACAGAATATTAAAGCTCCACTACTAACCAGATCAAGTGACCTCTTCCCGTTGTTGTATATAAGAGAAAAGGATAAATAATCCTTCTCAGGACGGAGATACCTCTGGAAAACAGCCTGATAGAGCATTAAAGATGAAAAATGAGTCTAAATTCAGCAGAAAAGAATGCCAGCATAGAAGGAAGAAAACTAGGATGTTGTGACAAAAATAGTAAAGAATAGAGTATAATATACTATGTATGTATGTAACAATAGAACCATAAAGATCTTACAGTTCTTTGTCCAGGAATAATTTTAGACACTGAGGCTAACTTCAAACTTCTTTCACCACTGCTTGAAATCCAGATTAAAGATGTTTCATCCTGCAATTTTAACAAATGAAAACTGTTAGTAGGTGCAGAAATTAAAGAAAGAATTATTAGTTGGATAAAACATAAAATTTGAGCAAAGCCAAGCAACTAGTAAACAGCATCATTTTTTAATTTAAAACAGAGTCCTAAAATTATGGTCTAGTTAGAACAGCATGTATCTCAAAAGATAGCCAATCACTGTGTACTTGTTTCTTTTTTCACGGTCACATGCCTATACAGTGGAAAAGACTAGTATAATGAAATCACAATTTTTGTAAATTTCAGTGTCAATATAATTACTACTTGCACATAATGAGAGCAAATAAACTTTAATGCATGGTTTTTTAATAAGTCATCGGTTTTTTAATAAGTCATCGGTTTTTGCGCACACTTCAACTCAAAACCATCTAACAAAGCATAAGACTAATATTCACACATCAGAGGAACATAGCAGAAAGGCTTCAAAAATTGGACCCAAACTTACATTAGAAAGTCTGAACGGACAAAACTTAGGCTTTCCCTTGCGACCATATTTCAGAAGCGGAGCACCCTTCTTCAAAGCTATTAATGCCTACAAAAGGTTAAAACATTATTTGTAAGAGGATAACAACATCAAGATATGTACAAAAATTTTTGAACCAAATCAACAACAAAACCATCAAGAAAGAGAATAATATTAATGGCTAAGTTATAGTAACCAAAACCTCACGCTAACACTTAAAATTTCAATTGATAATCGAGAAGAATGAAGCAGCACATCTAAGCATTAAGCATCCCTTACTCTGTTCCTGAGTAATACACATGTATATGTTCAATGTCAATGTATTATTTCTGCAATCCCAAGCAAACCTGCATGGCTTTGACATTTGAAAAACTTATCGACCATTAAAGCATGCAACTTCCAATTTCATTAACTAAAGTTTTCAACCATTTCTAAAATTCCTCTAATAACCAAGAAATAACATAAATTTTCAACATTTTCAAACGCAACTTTTGAGATTCCTCTAAATTAGGCACAAAAAGACACCTTTTTTTTCTAAGCTTTGTAAAGTCCACTAAAATCACTAAAATCTAGACAAAAATAAAAAGAATCCAAACACTACTCTCAACCTCCATAAAATAACCAAAAAAATCCAAAATTTCCACGAAATTACCCCTCATTTCTTCCCCTTGCATCAGGAAAACCGGGGACAAAATTGAAAGTGAAACAAAATTAGAAAGAAGTTGAGAAGAAATAGCCATAAATAAAAAATTTTACAATTTATAATATAAACTAAGATAAAAAAAAAAAAGTGTGATGAAGAAATATAGAAATAGAAATAAAAAGAGGAAGACCTGGTCGATGTCACGTTGGGCATTGCCGTAGCTAACAAGATCTGCCATTCCATGTGAAGAAATTACCAAAATGCCACCTCCCTTTACGATCGCTCTCTTGAGCTCCGTTCATCATCCGCTACTACCACCTCCTCCTTTCTCTTCTCTTCTCCCCTCTTTCCCTCCTTCTCTTACCATCCAAACGCCTTTACCTCTCTATTTCCAAAAACCAAAACCAAAACAATTAAAGCCAAACTTTAGCAGATCTATCTCCTCCTTCAACACCAAAACCCTAGCATTCACCTCTTCATACCACCACGACTAACTCGGTCCTTAAGTTTGACTGACGACGGGACGGCTCAAAGTTCAAAGAGGCGGCGCTGCCGCTGTGACACGAGGGAAGCACCGGCAGAGTAGATGGAGGTTACCGCAGGGAAGACTGGGAGAGAGAAAATGGGAAGCGGGGGCCTGGAGTTTTTGTGTTGTGTTCGTTTAAAAAAAACAGGGGAGTCAAAGATGGGAAAAGTAAGCAGGAAATCGCCCGAGGTTGAAAAGAAATAAGAAGACATTTCCGATGCACTTCTTTTTTTTTTTTTTCTAAATATTTCTTTTACTTTTTAATTATTGTAGCAGTAATAAATAATTACTTGCTAAATTTATTTTTGCATTAAAAAAGAAAAAAGTGCTTAAATCAATTGAATTGAATTGAATTTGATTCGTAGCTGCTACTTTTTTTTTCTCTTTTTATTTAACCAAATATTTTAAGAACTACGGGGTTTGTTTGCCAGAACCAAAAAGGGAAATTTGTTTTGTGGCTTTAACACTTTAAACATTACGTTGTTGCAGGCTTGCAGCCTTTGTAGACTCAAATATTTGATCAATTCGTAATTTTTTATTAAAAATAAATTTTGAATTTTTTCAAAATAAAAAATAAAAATGTAAATAAATTGAATGTAAATTAATTTTATTATATTTATAATTTATTTATTTAATTAATAAATTTTAAAATATTATTTATGATTATTTTTTAAGTTTAATAAAAATCGAATTTGTTCTCAAATTATTTATAAAATGTTCTTTTTATTTATATTTTGATGTTATAAATACATTATCATAAATAAATTTTATTATATTCATAATTTATTTATTTAATTAAAAATTTTTCAAATATTATTTGTAATTATTTGTTAAATTTAATAATTAACAATAATCAATCATATTTACAAATTATTTATCAAATATTATATTCAGTTATTTTTAATAAAAAATATTATTAATCTTCAAAAGTAAATAAAAAGACTTTTTTATCCAAAAATCTAAGAAAAACTAATTAATAAATTTGTTTTATAATCCGTAAATTATATTTTAGACATTACTTAATGGAACAAATAAATAGAAATGATTTCTAATCAATGTATCAAACAAGACATTATACTGGAGTAAAAGTTTAGAATGTAAATGATACATTAATATTAGTAATTTATTTAAATTGGATTCGGTTATTATCGAATCGAATTTAAGTTTAAATAATTCTACTTATTAATTGAGTTGAGTTAGAATATTTTTATATTTGATTCAAATAATTCGTGAATTTAATTGAATTTTTATATTTAATTTTATTTTTATTATTTTAATTAATAAATTTTTTTGATATTAAGTTTGAGTACAAATAATTAAACTGTTATCAAATATAATAATTAAATTTATTTTTATATGTTAATCGATCATAATCGAATTAATTAAAATAATTTAATTTTTATCTCAAGTTGAATTTGAGTTAAAAATATAAAATTTAATTTAATTTAAATTAAATTTAAATTTAATATCGATTTAAATTTGATTGAGTACACTTTTAATAAAAATTGTTATGTTTTTAACTTTCGATCTGAACACAGATTTTGGCAGGGTGCTGGAGGCGGGAGGAGGCACGTCGAAGGGTTTTTCCGTAATTTTATAATCTAGAAGTCTAAATGACGTAAAAACCGTTAAATACGTGGCATGGAGTGAGTGGGAAAGGCGTAAATGAAACTTTACGACTGGGAGCGAGATTTGGTGGGCTTTTGGGGCAGAAATTTAGATGTTCGTATCGGATATTTTGGTGATTTGCGTGGGGAAACATTCCTCAATTTCCTTGCAAAGAATAAAGGAATATTGTCCAGACCACATTTAACGATAATAACTTCACATTTACTTCTGATTGGCCTTTACCATATTTGTGGTATCCATTGCCTTGGTGGAAGAGAAACAAAAAAGTTAATTAATTTTGTTTTTTTTTTCATAAAATTGGATAATTTTCTCAAGTGCAAGTAAAATTAAAAAAAGATGGAAGACTCAAATTTTTATTTTTGAAAACAAGCAAAATGATAAAATATTCTTTATTACAACTTTAATAGATTTTATTATATTACCTAATTTATGAAGTTAATTTCAATTATTCCCCTTATGAATATAGCACCAACATATCTTTAAATATTAATTGAGGATTTTTTCCATTTATCAGTCAATATTTTATTTTAGTAATAAAAAAATATTTAGAATTCATTAAATTGATGTAAAAACTATGACGTTAAAATAAAATTAATATAAAAATTTAGAGTTTAATTTAATTAGTTTATGTAATTATTATTAAAAGATGATATTCAATAAGCTTAGAATTCGGATTTCAATATCAAGAATCTTTTTTATTATTTCAGAATTGCGACTTTTAAAAAAAATAATAAAAAGAATTAAATATGAACAAAATTTTAAAATACCTACTTTACTAACATCAAAGTTATTCACACTCGTTCTATATAATAAATGTTAACATTTTTACTTAATGGCCATTTGATGAAATAGGTAATTAATAATAAATATAAATTATATAGATACATATGCTTCAATCAAAATTTTACTTCTTTTTAAACATTTGGAAAAGGTCTATCTATTTGACAGTGAAATAACTATCATGTTAACTTCATGTTATTGAAAATTTCTCAACATTTATGATAATAAAATAAAAACACATCTATCAGTGAAAAGAAAAGTTTTAATTCTTAAGAATGTAAATTAATTTGAGAATTTAAATTGAAATTTCAACACATACAAACTTTTATGTATCAAAAAAATTTTGAGTCATGAACTCATAGATCAAGTGGACAAGAACTATTACAAAATTTTAATATGATATCACCACCCTTACAATTTTTTTAATAGAATAAATAACTTCTTATCAAAATTATTTGTGATTGGATTTACATTTAATTTGGGAATTTTGGCTTTACATTTAATTTGGTTTTGGATGGCTTGATGATTCTTGCTTGACCTAGTTTTACAATTTTGATTTATATTATCCCATTTTTCTTAAATTTGTTCATAAAAAAAATTCATGCACAATAGATGTTTGTTAAAATATTTTTATGGAGGTTTTTGTTTTTTTTTCTAAGAATTGCTATTAGTTTGAACCAATTTACAATCTGGCAATGGCCTTGCTATGGCTTCACAAAAAGAACGTTGAGCTAGAAAAAGCCAAGGTTGTTCACATTATGTTGCTTGTTCCAAGCCTTACATGGAGGGTACCAGGTGACAAAATGGCAGCAATAGCCATGAAGATATACCGGCAAAGAAGAAACCCTAAACCCAAGCCATTAAATTAAACAATAAAAAATCAAAGTAGCTTATCTTTGTCGTCAAAATTTGATGCAACGAGAAAGAAGTTAAAGGTGGGGAAATATTTTTAGGTTAACACAACTTTTTTTGATTGAGTGGCAAAAGATTTTTAGGTTGCTTAATATATCTCGTTTGCAGATAAATTCAAATAGATTTATTTATATTAAAATTTAATGAATTAATAAAAAAAAATTTTTTACATTCTTACAATGAATACAAATACAAACAATCAAGAGAACGGTACACTTTTTTTTTTCACCATTTGAATCAAACATCAATTGATACATTAATACAATTAGGGGTGTAATTGATCAAGTTCAAGTTGATATAGTATTAAGTTTGAAGTTGAGCTCGATTCAAAATTAGAGACTTGAAACTTGATTTGAAGTCAATCAAGTTTTATTTTTCTAACTCTAGCTTAATTTGAGATGAAAAATTGAGCTATTCAAACTCGCTCAATTAAGTTTGATTAATATGTAAAAATAAGTTTGATTTTTATATTCAACAAAAACTCGATTATTTATGCTCGAACTCGAGTTTGAGATATTTTATTAATTAAAATAATAAAAATATATTTAAATATAAAAAGTTCAATTAAGTTCGTGAATTACTCAAATCGGATATAAGAATGCTCAAATTTAACTCGATCGATTAGTTAAGCTATTCGAATTTGAGCTCAACTCAATAATAATCGAACCAATTTGAATTTTATTCTAATCGAATCTGAATAATTTATGAATATTAATATGTCATTTATATCTCTAAATATAATCTTGTATGAGTTTTTTTTTTCAAAAAATTAAAATATATGACATGGCAATAATATGACAAAAAAAAAACTAAAAATAAAAAAATCCAAAAAAATGCAAGATTTTGGAAATAAGTTCTAAAATCACAACATTTGACAAAAAACTTTTGTTGGAGTGTTTTCTCTTTTAGTTGCTTTCATAATTAAATATTACATTTATATAACTAATTATTACATCATTAAATAATTAATTAATAAATTATAATTTAATTAAAAAACCATACATAATATTACATAAACCTAAAGTATTAACCTTCCAACAAAAACCTCATTGGCGCGTTGGAGTGTGTTTTTAAAACGAACAAATTATGGAAAATAATAATTCGATAATAATTAATTACGTAATTATTAATAGTATTAATTAAAGAGATCTTTCTTTGCTTTTGAGAAGCTTTCTTGAAATGACAAAAGCACCCCTAATATCTGGGAAACTTTTGTGGAACTACGAGCATTCTCTAACTCTTCTTTTTGTTTGTTTATTTATTTGTAATTTGGTAGGTGACCGACCATGGCTCCATTCATGGGATTATTCAACCTAGATGGTATTAGCCGCCCATTCTTTATACTTGTACTACTCATCATTTTGACTTTGACTTTAATATTGTATTATTTGAAAAAAAAAAAAAGATTATTTATAACTCAACATATCTGGCTGGTCATGTTATGAGGTTTATAGAGATCCAAATACACAATAACATTTGATATTTTATAACTCAATCATTAAATTAATATTTTTTTTCTTTAACAAAAGGAGCTAAATGAGATTTTCTTTCCTTGTAATTCATACAAAAATGTTTTTTTGCCAAAATATAAAAAAGTTGATTTAATGTTTAATTTATTTAATAATAACTTTAAAGTTCCAAAGCTAAATTGGACAATTTCACTTGATTAAGTGCCATTGAAGTTATTTTATTCGTAATTAGCTAAAATTGACACCCAAACATGTGCCCAAAATAAATGGGTTTTGTCAAGAAAAGGTGTTTATAACAAAACATAAAAGTGGATAGATTGTTATTAAGTAATGGTGAAGAATAATTAAAAATGAAAATGGTTAATATTATGAATTAATCTTAAATTATAATAAAATATTTAATATGATATCAAAATTTTAAAAATATTTAAAAATATTTAAATT